ACCTGGGCAGTGATGTGACCAATGGTCTTTTATGATAGGTCAATTCTTCATACTTCAATGGGGGGAAAAAAGACAAATTTTCTACATAAACAGTTTATGGTTACCATCAACATTCTAACTTAATTTTTGAAACGTATCTATATTCGAAAAACTTACAGCTGTTTAAGATTACGTGGCAATAGAAACCATCTTATACTGATTCTAAATGAAGTGAAGCTGCATAAAACACTCCTCACTAGACTGAATCACTGCCGGGCGTGGGAGGCACCCATGGAAACATATTGCCATGAAAAAATTAAAGTACAAGACCGACTGACAAAATATATTACGAGATACAAAAAAAAGATCGTATTCACGAGATAACGAAAGAAAGATCATATTCCCTTGGTACTATAATACTAATATCTAGTAAATTTTAGAAACAGAATTTGAATTACCTTGGCTTCAACCTGGTAGACACATCCTAGGTCTTTCATGGGTAGGGCATCGGTTAAGAGTTCATCACCTGAATTAAAACACAATATCTTATCAATCAAGAATCATTATCAGCTTTGTTTTGCTTCAGTATCGAGGAAAAATATTTCTGTTTCTTTACCTGAGATGACGTCCCTAAAAAGCTTCATTTTGGATCAGATGTGAGTGGATTCTTTCTCACAAATATTTACGTGTTCGACTCTGTTCTAGCCGAACCGGAAAAAGGAAAGTATGGAGGTTACACAAAACTGAGAATCGTTTCGTTGTCAAGTAGAGGTTTATTCAAACAAGCACTCAAAATTATATTTCATAAATTATTCAAGGACTTATCGTTGCATTGTAATTTTCTATGCATCAATCTGAGGAATCAATATATTCTATTTTTTTATTATTCCAGTAAACGTTTTGTTCTTCATTTTGATAAATACCAAGCAATCGAAACTTCCGGTTTAAGAGCAGGCGAACTCGGTGAGGCAAACTGAAGTACGGACGCCTGGCAGCTCTCGGGGAATTCGTGCGCATTTTCGAGGTCACACAAATCGATTTAAGTAATTATTTCCCAATGTGGTTAGCGAAGATAATAAGGTAAGATATTATACCATTTTAAGATTAATATTCGCCTATTTTCATTGACAAATTTGGATTGCCGCGTTGCTATTATATGACCCAATTTTAGGTTTGACATGTGCATATATGATATCTTTGCTGTACACGAGTAAATCACATGTGCCGTGAGAAGTTTCATAACTAGAAAAATAAAACAATTATGAAAATACAGTATTATATTTGGTCAACTCATTGAATATTTAGCCCTGTAAGCTTGAGATTGATTATTTTATGTATTAAATCCCTTTGCTAATCCGATTTTTATTCAAATAATTTTCTCTTTTAGAATTTTATTTATTGGTGAGATCTAGTGAATTTTAATATAATATTAGTAATCGGATTATTAACAATAAATTGACATAAACCAATCAATAAATAAAATTCTTAAATCAACTATTAATAAAGAAAATTATTTGAGTATAATTTAAAATGTATTAATTATGGAGGTTGTTTTATATTAAAAATGCAGTGTTCATTTATTATTATTATTATTATTATTATTATTATTATTATTATTATTAATGATGATTATGATGATGATGAGCATAATTGAACATGTGAACCCTGCCACAATCATAGTGCCACCAACTTAAAACTGGTCAAATTCATCAAATATGTGAGCAGTTGAAAATCCAAGTAGAACTAATATGACTGAAGATTTGCCAAATGTGATGATGATTTTTATCTTTTTTAAATGAAAGATTATTAAAAAGTGTCAATTTTAGGTAAAAGGAGGTTTTTCATGATCTTTCGCGTCAAGATGGGTCATGCTTCATTGGTTAAAAAAGAAAGCAAAAGTGATTTTCTTTATGGAATTTCAAGAATTTTAATTCATTTGTGATAGGCCCCATGGCAGCTCCTGTACACCTGACCTGCCTAGCATTTGAACCCACGCTGAATAAAATGAGAGTTTGATCCTTCACCAGTATTTATCAGTTTTGATGATTTATTTCAGGTTTGAATAATTTAAAGACAATACAAGTAAAAACAAGGGCAGAGTGTTATGAGGGACTGGCGGCCATTCTGTTACGGAGGGGTGGCTTCTGTGATAGCAGAATGTGGTAAGTTGAATTTGATCATTGACTCCATCAAGGAAGTTTTGTTTTTGCTTTTGCTAGTTAATGGCCTAATTCAGAAGCTACCCACGGATTTGAATAAAAATTTCAGGATGTGTCATAATGTCAATGTCAAAAAGGGGCTAACTTAGAACTGATGAAATTTTGGTGGCTATTAATTATTTAATTTATTAAAATTTGGTGGTCTGCACTCAGTGGTAGTTTTTTTAAATTTAATCTGAAATTGTTATGGAAGTGGAGAAATAGAGGCACAACTATGATAACAGCAGAGCGTTGCAAGTTTGGAGTCATTAGAACCATAAAATAATAAATTAAAACAAACATTTGTCTTGGAAATGTGTACAATTAGTGATGTCTTTCACGAAATTTTGGGGATAGACATCCTCAGTAAGGTACTCAAGGGAGCAATTCAACAATTTCAACAAAATTCAGTCTTCTGAATTTAAATTTAATTTTTTTTTGTATACAGATTTAAACCACTGTCACTGTGATGTTTAAAATTTCTGCGCATCCTTCCATCTTACAATGCCACGGAGGCTTGTTCATTTCACAGTGCACCCTACAGCAGTGAGTCATTGTGTGGGTTTTCATGGAATCTGAACATAGACATGTTTAAAAGAAATACATGCCTCACCTCATATAGGGACAATAAGAGATGCCCGTGTAATAGAAAGTGACATGCAATTCCTGTTAAGTGATTTGCATTTGAAAAGAGAAGCCAATCCCTTTTGACCGAACATATGTGACAGAACATCAATATGCGGGTGAAAATGACACCAGGAGATTTCTTTACGATCTGGGTCTGGTTTTATATAGGGGAAATGTAGCCTAAAATTTGTCTACACTTTTAGACCAAATATTTAGTCTCTGTAAGGTACAGTGATGGTAGACTGCTATATTGAAATATCTTTTTTTGGTCTGAAATATTAGGACTCCATTCCCATACCTAGATTGTTCTAGCAGGATCAACTCATCTCTGAGGGGTTTCTTGTTAAAGTGCATTCAGCTTAAGCAGATGTCTGGTATGCCTACTGAAGCTGCTTTAGAAACGCAATTTAATTATCCCCCTATCAGCTTCAGTAGGCATACCAGACATCAGAGCTTATTACTATAAGCTAATGCAGTTTAGCAAGAAGCCTCTAGGAGATGGGTCGATCCTGTTAAATCGATCTAGGTATGGGAACGGGGTCTAGCTATCTTATATATGAACAAGTCATCCTTTTGATAAAAAAGGTTCTGTGTTTCTTTTTGTTGACAACTGTTGTTTTATCTTTGGTCAAAGAAGGCTGAAGTAATATTTTCAGAAAAGTTTGAACCATTCTCGACCTTACTTTCTTTTATGAGCCAGGCTTCTGGTTTAAATTTTTCAGGGTAGAATTGAAAAAGACAACTTTTTATCTTCTCTCACAAATCATTGCGTCACTTTCCCTGCACAGGTTGCACTAGAAAACAATGTCCAAGTGGAACATGCAGAAACAAACCTTTACATTTCATCCATTTTAGATCACCTTTCTATTTACATTATTTGTTTATTTGTTTACTTAATCTTTGTATTTGTCAGGTGTGCCTCAAATGTAGCACAGGTGTTGTGAACGAGCAATTGAGAGTGAACAACAACACAACTTTTATTATTGTGACTTGTTTTCTTTATTGTTGATTTTGTTGGTTTACAAAGACTGAACACAATGGATTTTCAAGGTGACCCATTGCTATTTAGTTAGCCTAATCAGTAAGAAAAAATGCCAGTGCCTATTATATATTCTTACTAGTTTGATTATCAAGCTGCGGTCATTTCAGAGCAAAATCCCATTGCGACCTTGAGTAAAGAAATATGGCCATTTTGCAAAAAGTTTTTAAAATTAAGGTTTACTCAAGAAATGGACATTAAATTTTTTAATGAGTTAAGAAGCTATGGCACCTCTGCTAGTGTTAAAAACTGTTAAACGTTGTTATTGTACATGTAATTTCCAAAGGTTAAAGGGATAATAATTCTTCGTTTTGGCCAAAAAATTAATTTTCCTGGAGTAAACAACAATTTTCCCGTACTTACCAATGGTTAATGAATCCATTTTTGCATTCAAAGTTAGTCCCTGTTTTTTTCTAAAAAGTTAGTTTTTTTTTTTGTCATAATCTCTTAAGAGATTATAACAGAGTATAGCCATCAATGGAGGGCACGTGGTCTGAAGACAAGCTCAAATATCAGAATAATAGCTTAACTGCCATTTTTGTGGTAAAACAGAATATATTATATTTCTGTGAGTTGTTCACAATGTTTTTATTGTGAAATATAGATTTCATACAAAGAGTTATTATCCCTTTAACACAAGTTTAAAAGATAACTGTTCAGTCATTTATTTTTACCAAAGAAAGTGCTAGGCTTTGCAGCTGCTCTATCCTTATCAAGATTAGTTTCCTTGGAGGTTTGGCAGTAGTCCAGAATAAATATGAGAGGCCGAGATTTTGCATTTCAGTTTTTCTTTTTGATTTTGAAGTTCCTCTCCTTTTCAGTATATGTATGATGGTATATTATGGTATATAATAATGTCCATACTCTTGTTTGTCTTGACCATGTAAAGTGAACATTAGACAAAGCAAAATGTAAGCCAAGAAAGAATTATTATTATTAAAGTAGGGAAAAAGGCTGATATTGAATCCTGTCAATGAATTTAACTCTTTATATAAATGTTGTTAAGGTTTGAAGTGATTTGAGTTTGCTATATTTTTTTCAAAATATAAAGTAAAGCATGCTTTACTTGTGAAACATTTTTGATTTTAAGCTATAAATTTCTACTCCAAATGAGTGAATTTTTTTCCCTCCTATAGTTTGGTATCTGCTGTGACTGTCACTTGTTTTATCTCCTCGATATTAGTCCAGCTATGATTTCAACAGTAAATGTCACAGTGAGCGTACTGCATGATCACTGTGACATTTCTGCTGTAAGTGGAGGCATTATGCAATGTACACAGTTTGTAATCTCCTTCGTGCTGAGTCCCATTTTAGTACCATGTCATTTATCACCCCAGATGTCACTGAGTTGGAATGCGAATCCCCCCCCCTCCCACCCCCCTTCTAACAAGCCATAGCCTCAAACTCCCTAAGTTTTGATCAATTTCTGAATTTTCAGCAATTTCATTTTGGCAAAAAGAAAGTACGTTACAGGAAAGAAGACCGCGCAAAACTGCTTGCCCTATAATTCAATTTTTTGTATATTTAAACAAATTTTGTGGTACGATTTTTCCCTTGATATTTGCTGAATCCTTAAAAACATTGCCTTTATTGAATCTTTGCCTCCAAGAAAAATTTTTCAGTCCCAAAGTGTTCTGAGATATGTGACGTATTCTGTCTATAGGCTGGAAACTTGAAAAAGCTACACAAATTATTAGTGGTGAAATATCTTTGTGTCTACTGTATTATCTTTGGATTTATAAATAGAGCAGACAATGAGGTCAGAGATGTGCACTTAGTGTACTCAGTGTAATTGTTATAGTTAGTCATACATATGATGCAATGTCAGTTTGCACTACTATATACCAACAGTTTCATAGGTCACAGACAGTGAAAACTCGCCCCTCAAAGGCTCAGCATTTCCTCTACGTACCGTGCACGGCCACAGATTGACTTCAGATTTTTTGCTGTATAATGGCAGATGTATGTTTCAGACAAATTCATAACACAATGATCCACTGCAGTGGGACAGAAAAGTGCACATGTTAACCAGAAAAATATCTTCAAAAATCTAGTGAAAAACTGATCTGTGGCCCTAGTAGAGGACTTTTTTTCGCAATGTCTCTACTTTTAACCGATGTGAGCTTACAGGAATCTCTGAAACTCGGGCGACTGGGTCCAGGCTTTGCGTGATAAAACTACTATTACTAAGTCTGTGCCCAGGCAGTAACTTGTATGTACACATAACAATAATTTACCGATTGGCCTCATTTCATAAAGTAGCATGCATTCATTTCATCTGACTGGCCTGTTTAACAAAATGACTTGTGTGACAAAGTGTGCTTTTAATTTTAGCCCACTAAATTGAGTTTCACAGAAAATATCAGTTAGAATTTAAGCTGATTGCCTGATAAAAAGTCACCTCAGGTTTTAATGCTGGTAGACCATGCGAGAATTTTACCTGCTCTTTCATTATTTGGCATCCCGCATACACAGCAACCTGTGGTTGTCCTAAGAGTATTTCTTTTATTATTTGAACTATGAACATACCATTCCTGAATTGATGACATGATCTCTTTTATTATTTATTTGTTTATTACCAGTCATCGTTACTAACTTGAAATCATACCACTTTTTTATGTCCTAAAAGTAAGTATTTGGTTTTTATTGATTATTCTTATTCAATTCTTTCACATCAGGCACATTCCCAATAGATACAACCAAGACGCGCCTCCAGATCCAGGGACAGAAGATTGACGCCCAGCATGCTCAGCTCAAGTACAGGGGGATGATGCATGCTGTCATCAGAATATCCTCAGAGGAGGGGTTGAGATCTCTATACTCAGGGTGAGTATGATGTACTCTGTACACAGAGGAAGGGTTGACATCTCTATACTCAGGGTGAGTATGGTGTAGTCTGTACACAGAGGAAGGGTTGAGATGTCTATACTCAGGGTGAGTATACTATGGTGTAGTCTGGAGGTATCGCAACAAGTTGGGCCATTTTATCAGTTTCTGGAAAGAACTTTTTCTTTGTGAAATAATTTTTTTTAGCAAATCTCTCTCTTTCTCTCTCTCTCTCTCTCTCTCTCTGCATTTTTTAGTTCTTTTGAATTAGTTATGAAATGAATTTACCAATGATTTTTAATTTTGATACTTTAAATTCCAGTATTGCACCAGCATTGCTTCGCCAAGCCTCATATGGGACAATAAAGATTGGAATTTATCACTCAATGAAGAGGTATTTTTGCGCAGATCCTAAAGGTAAGTAATAGATTGCTTTCTTGATTGTTGGTTAGATGTCTCTGCCTTGATTTATAAACACTGATCACATTCAGACTTTGGAAAACAACCAAATTATTTATATTTATTTTCTTCATCAATTTCTGTGGTGTACAAATTAGAAAATCCACAAGAGGACAAAAAATTATTTTGCTTTTCTGCAAGTTTTTTAATGACTGTAGGAGGGAAGGCCAGTATTATGTGTTCTTTAGAAGGATCAACACCCTAAAACACTATAATTTAATTATGGCCTCATTTTTAGGCCACTTGCCTTAAATAGAAAAACACAACATTAAGCTTTTGGCACTGGGGATCTGACCCAGATTGAATGCTGTAACTTTGCAAGTGTTCAGAAAGTTTACTGTTTTGAACCAGAATTTGAAACGCTCTGCTTACTGTCAGCAATGCTCCAAAGCAGTTCAGTATATTAAGGTTTTTTTTTTGGTTGTTTAAACATTCTGCTAACTACAAAAGTCCAGAGGCCTGTTTTCCCAAATACAACTTGAGACAGAAAGTTTGTCTTAACTTAAACACTGAAAGTTTCAGTCTACTTTTTGACCCAGTAGTAGTTCATGGAAGTGAAATATTTTTTAATCAAAAATGGTGAATATTTTTGTCAGATGGCTACTTTGTTAAAGTTGGCTGCTGAGAATTAATCCAAAATTAAAGGTGAAGACAAATGTGATTTTTAAAGTTCAGATCAACTGGTAATCCTAAGTTATATTTCGAGTTGAACCCTTGGTCTTTACCCCGACTTCAGCTAATGTTACAAGGTCCGGGTGTAGACATACAGCTGTATATTAAAGCATTAGGTATTTGCTGTTTGAGGTTAGGCCAGACAGACGTGCAGACAGGCCCTCATATTTAGAATAAGAGATTTTTTTTCCTTTTTTTTTCTTGTGTGTGTGTTGGTTTAGTAAATGGAATTTTTTTGCAATTGACCCCTTAAAGCTGATAATTTATGTTCATAAATCACTCATATTGTGGCTATGACATTTCCCCCCGCCATAAATTAAATAAAAGAAAAGGATAACAACTAAACTGACTGTTCTGACATTTAGTTGATATGCCTGATAAACATTGTATGTTAAGAAAACACAAATTTCGGAGAGTCGTCAGTCTTTAACCAACCTATAGACAGTAAGTATAAAATCAATAAATGATAGGAAATTAGTAAATAAAATATCCATATGGACAAAGGCCCAGGAAATGAAATATTCTCAGTTGTTACAATTTACTGAAATAACAGTGCATGTATATACAAGCTTTTACCTGGAATTGTTTGTACTAAATGAAAAACAAGTCTCTACAGCCATCAAATAGTTTAAAAACTGTTAATTGAATGGTTTTATATTGATGCACAAATGGAGTAGGATTTGTATCTTTTATAAACAATATCAGAGAGAAATGGCTAAATGCAATAAGTTAACACTGATAAAGATTTAAAGATATTAAAAACTGACAGAGGCGCAGTTATGCTGGTATATGTAAATTAGATGAAGAATTACATCAGGTTCTTTTTCTTACCCAGTTCAAATAAAATTGGCCAAGCAAATTTATTAGCTCATACTTGAGTTAGACATTCTGCCCCCCACCCCCCCCCCCACCCCACCCCAACCCGAAAAATTTAATAATAATAATAGTAAAATTAATGATGATATAGTGATAATGATAAAAGATTTAGTGACCAATGTATATCAAATAACAAGGTATTTATTATGCTAAAGTAAATGCTCCACAGGTGGTTTACCTGTATCTACTGGCCAGGGTATTTATGTATATATATCATCTATCACAAGTTGTCCATATTTAACTGACCACTCAGAGCCAGTGGAGGCAGTATCTTGTTGTAGTATACATACAGTACCATAATATGTATATATTGAACTACGGTCTACCTGAAGATTACCCTTCATCTTGAGACTGGCATTCATTATGTGCTGTGTATGTGTCCAAGATATACTTCCTCTGGCTCATTTGTTTTTGACTTCCTCCATAACTGCTGTTTTATATATATATATATATATATATATATATATATATATATATATATATATATATATATTTATACACACACACACACACACACACACACACACACACACGCACACACACACATGCACACAATTTGTGCTATTATACTGCCTTACAAAGTTTGGTATATTTATGAAGAAATTTGAAATAGATTTTGTCCATTTTGTTTGTTAAAACAAATGGAGAAACAAACTGTTGTGAAAATATAAGCCTTTTCTAAGGCAGTAGTTTTGTGTGTGTTTGTGGGAGGATGGGGGAGGGAGCTTTTCTCCTGGATAGGACCAATTCACCTGCAAATCATAATTCCCAGTTATTTTTATTCTCACAGCTGATGAAATTATTCTCTGAGGGTAATTAATTATGATCTTCTGTGGAAGAGGTAATAAGGGTCAAGAAGATATGACTTTGTCCTATATATATATTGTAATCTATTATGTAACCTCACTCCCAGATCTCGGTCAATGTATTCAGTTTTGTGATGAGGTATGTTGAAATCTGTGATGGTGACCTGGTCCAGAATGGTAATGGGCAAATATTTTTGAAAATACCAGCCTTGACAAGTGCCTCAATTGCTTCAGTCTTAACCTAGGGAAGACCATGGTTATTTATTTATTTATTTATTATTATTATTTTTATTATTATTATTATTATTATATTTGCAGATGAGAGTCTCCTAGTCAATGTGTTCTGTGGTATAGTAGCCGGTGTTGTTTCAAGCTCACTTGCCAATCCCACAGATGTGCTCAAGGTGAGATTTATTAGTTATTAAATGTGTCTCAGCTCTGTCACAACTAATGCAATCCCAGAGATGTGCTCAAGGTGAGATATATTAGTTATTAAATGTGTCTCAGCTCTGTCACAACTAATGCAATCCCAGAGATGTGCTCAAGGTGAGATTTATTTATTAAATGTGTCTCAGCTCTGTCACAACTAATGCAATCCCACAGATGTGCTCCAGGTGAGATATATCATTTAGTAAATTGCATGTCTCAGCACTGTCACAACTAACACAATCCTACAGATGTGCTCAAGGTGAGACATCTCAGTAAATTGTATGTCTCAGCACTATCACAACTGACACAATCAATGTGCCACAATTAACAAATTGTTACACAATACTTTTTATTTACTTAAGAAAGTATATAGTGCATTCAAGGCATGCATATAGGAAAGAAATCAATTTTCCCTGAAAATCAACCAATTTTACTTTCAGAGTATACTTTATCCTAAACTGCTCAGAACATTTCAAGCAATAAATCCAATTAAAGGTTCAAAGTTTTCTAACTTTTACTGTTACAAAAACTCAGGTTTTTTTTTATGGTCATTCAAATGTGTCATACGTATCTTGGTGATAAAGAAAGAAATGCTGAAATTTCCAGAAAAAATCATTTACTTGTGACATTTAAAGGTGCAACACCTGATTGCCATTAAAAATTGGATGCTAAGTTATCACAGTAAATTTTTCTTTTTTCTTTTTTTTTTCATTTTTTTTTTTTTTTTTTTTTTTTTTTTTGCTTTCCCAGGTCCGTATGCAGGCCCAAGGTCACTCTAGTGAACAACTAGGGGTGTTCCAGTCTTTTAAAGATATTTACACCAAGGAGGGAGTAAAGGGGCTCTGGAGGGTGAGCACTTATTTATTTATTTATTTATTTATTTATTTATTTATTTATTTATCTATTTATTTATTTTATTTTATTTTATTTTATTTTATTTTTGTGCACATTCTACTTGGCTGCTGAGAAGAGGAAGTTGAAACGATGTTAAGATCATACAAAGGTTTGCAGTTAGAAGAATCACTTGTTGATATCACTTGCATGATAATATTTATAAATTAATTTAATTTTTAGCTCATTTAGAAATAGAGAATGTTATATTTTGAAATTATGCAGCATAAGGGAAAATTCTTTAAAAAGATGTGACTATAATATAAGTAACAAATGCCAGTACAAATTATTATTTAAATGACCAAGTAATTTAAAATTCAATATTCAAGTATCAAAATGCAATAGTCCTGCAAAATCTGATGTGGTTGTTTAAGATTTCTCACATAGAAACATTGTTATATGATAATGGTGTCAAGCACAAAAGACCAAATTATGCCTCATCTCACATGCATGAATACCTGTTACTCACACCTGGGTTGTTTGTTCTTGACATCTGCCAAAGACCGCATTCAGAACAGACACTAACAAATCCACAGATCAAATATGGCTGACCCACTTGAATGCTTGTTGCGTAATCCCCGCAGGAACCCTATTTAGTGTCTAATCGGGAATTCAACGGCAAGCTCACACGCCTCCCCATGCTTCGTCCCTGCAGGGGCACAGTAATTAAATCTTGGCTCAATTCAACCGGTTGAGGGACAACGGGAGGAATGTGAGAGGCGGAAGAACCATTACAGGATTAGTGGTCTTCCTTTCATGTAGGTCTGCCATATTTAGGTCGCGGCCTTACTAGCACTCGGCTTTTCTCGATCTGAATGGTCCCATATACACCTCACAGACATAAATGTGGCCTGTTTACAGGGAGTGAGTTGCACCGCCCAGCGAGCAGGGATCGTAGTGGGTGTGGAACTACCGATATATGATTTAGCTAAATACCTTTTCATCCACAAGTATGGCATCATGGGTGACACCCCATCCACACATTTTATGTGAGTATCAGGAGTATAGCCAGCTAAAGAACTGTTGATAATATTGATATCAGTCTTGAAAATTGAAATATATGTATGTAAAAAAAAAAGCAATTTGAAAATGTTTTTAGGTCGTAAGTAATTAACTATGTTTTGAATTTATTTCTCTTAAAGTTGGATTAATATGTGAAGGGATATGAATGATATGAATATTTTAGCAATGACACATTGTGAATTGTAAGATTTTATTGTAAACAAATGCACCAAACAAATGATGATTCTGTACAATATAACGAATATAAGAATGGCACACAGCCATTGTTCACTGTAAGGGCATCATCTCGGTTCTTAAAAACATATTATAGAGAAACAATTTGTTGGTTCAGATATGACAATAAAACAGTTAGGGCAGAGAGCCAATAAAAAAAAAATTCAAAATTCTATTGATTATTTTCTTTTATTTTCAGATCGAGCAGTATAGCTGGTCTAGCTGGTGCTATAGCCTCTAACCCTGTTGATGTAGTTAAGGTTAGTACTATAGTGAGGATATAGTACATGTAGTATAGCTGGTCTAGCTGATGCTAGAGCCTTTTAACCCTGTTGATGTAGTTAAGGTTAGTACTATAGTGAGGATATAGTACATGTAGTATAGCTGGTCTAGCTGGTGCTATAGCCTCTAACCCTGTTGATGTAGTTAAGGTCAGTACTATAGTGAGGATATAGTACATGTAGTATAGCTGGTCTAGCTGATGCTAGAGCCTTTTAACCCTGTTGATGTGGCGATGGTAAAAAGTGTAGAGAGGATATAATGGGCAGTATAGCTTTTGGTGGTTCAGTTTGTTATTTTTTGTGCTTCATATCATCATATGTTACAATAGTTGCATTTTGTTCTGTTCTTGTTAATTTTCTTTTATCTATTTGATCACTAAAAATAACTTGGAATTTTATCCATTCATGTTATGCTTTAAATTCTCTGTTTCAGACTCGGATGATGAACCAAAGAAAACTAAAGGGAAAACAAGCCAAAGCAATTTACAGTAGTTCAGTGCAGTGTTTGGTGCAGGTAAGATAGGTGCCACTAACACACACACACACACACACACACACACACACACACACACACCTAAAGGGAAATACAGCTAAACAATACTTGGTGCACTTAAGCTTGAGCCACCCACGTGCACACATACAAAACATGCACATACACACACATATATACACACTTACACATACAACGTGCACACACGCAAATGCCCCTTTACGTAATGTGTCAGTTAAGAAGCATTAAGATTTTTCTCAAATTTGTTGTTTTACTTTAGCCTTAATTAAAATACATCACTGCCTTCACTGAAATGAAACTAGTGTGATTTAAAAAATTGGAAGCTGTTGTTTCAAGCTTAAAGACTTAAAGACACGAGATTTTCAAATTACACCTTTAATTTAGTTATAATTACATTTGTCAAAGTGTGGGGCTATGTTTTCATCTATGGTCATTGTCTGTGTGGGTGTACAAGATATCTCATAAAGTTCCTCAAAATTTTTAATGATTTTCAAGATAGACAGTAATTCAAGAAATAAAAAAGAAAGAGGCACTCACAAATTAAACCTTCCACTCATGATATTTTCTAAAGAATTTTATTGCCTTTTCCTTGGCAGATGTTCACTCTTGGTTTCCTATCATTTTATTTTATTGTTTTTTTTTATCAATAGCTGTACTATTTATTTTTCAGACCGTCAGGACAGAAGGTTTTTTTGCACTGTACAAAGGATTTATACCTACATGGGTTAGGTTAGGTCCTTGGAACGTAATTGTATCCTTTTTATTTAATCTTTTATATATTTTTACCTAATTTGATTTTTTTTTCGTCATTTATTTATTTTGGTTTGTTCCCCTTGAATGGATAAAATTGAGCCAAGAAATACACTTCAATGTTAATTTTCATGTCTTTCATGTTTTGATTATTTTCTACAAAGGAACTTTAGATGCAGACACATGTCTGTACATTTGACTGCTTCTGCTGTCTACCAGAGTCGAGTCAAGCAGAGTTTTTTGGTTTTGTTGAACAATTTAATTAACTTATTCATGTGTCTTTGATTGTAATCAGTCTAATTAAGACATATAAGATTTTATTTTGAAATCAGAAAAAAAAATACTGAGAAATATTTTTCTTAACCCATTTTTTCAGTTCTTTATGGCTTATGAACAGCTGAATAAAGTATACTGACCACAAAGAAAGCATTTTCTCATCCATATATCATGAGCACTGACAGACCACCGTGAAAAACCAAGAATTATAACGTTATTATATAATTTATCACAAGTTCACCACCATCGGGTCATCAACAGGTGCTTGGCTCTTGTTATGCAGGAATTACATTTGGATCTGAATCTCTTCAGATATCAGATATCAGCATTTTGCTTTCATTCCCCATTGAGGAGTAGCCGAAGGTGCAGCTTCATTGAAGAAAGCCTATGGAGAGTTTGTGAAGGATGACAATATGTTTGGGATGTTGTCTGTCAAAATTTGTGTCTTTACACATGGAAGTCCCTTGGGGACAGTCCCTGTTCCATTTGTGTCTAAGACTGGGTTATCATGCCTAGATCAATCTAACAGGATCGATCCATCTCCAAGGGGTTTCTCGCCAAATTGCTGTTAGCTTCAGTGGCTTAGATGTCTGGCACGCCTATTGAAGCCACTGAACGATAGCATCAGTGGTCATATGAGATGTCTAAGGGTGCATTCCAAGAGATTTAGATAGATCCAGGGATTAAGATTTAGATCTACCTAACTCCTTGGGGGTTCACGCTAAATTGCAGTCAGCCGAGGGCGCACCATAGTTAATTACCCCTTTACAGCTTTGAGTAGGCGGGACAGACGCTTAAGCCGGCTAAGCTGACAGTAATCTAGTGAGACTCCCCGCAGGGATAGATCGATCTAAAATCTATGGAAATGGGGTGTAAGAAGCTTTACTTGATAACAATTTAGTGAGTATCCCCTTGGAGATAGATCGATCCAAAGTTAATACAAAAGGCTCTGGGAATGGTCCCTAAATGCAGCCTTTAGTGAGAATCCCCTTGGAAATAGATTAATCCAAAGTTAATAGGATAGGCTCTGGGAATGGTCCCTAAATGCAGCCCTTAATGAGAATCCCCTTGGAGATAGATCGATCCAGAGTTAATACAATAGGCAATTGGAATGGTCCCTAAATGCAGGTTAGATGGGCCAGTCCTGTATGTCAGCTGTGGTGAAAAATATTTGCCACTTGCATGTACCACTGTTATTACAAGATTTTCTTGCCACAATGAATTGCGTGTTTACAATGCAGATAGTTTGTAACATTGTAAGTTACTATTCTCTCAAATCAATGGCTTCCTTGCACAAAAATTAAAGAAAAAAATATGTAAAATGAGGTCAACATTTTTTTTTCATAATTGCACCATCTTAGAAAATGTTGACATTATGCAGAAGTTCAGAAAATATCAGTTTTCTGAATGATTCCAAATATATATATTTTTTTTCAATAATTGAAACTCTGGTTACACAACATTGTGGATCCCAAGATGCCATATTCAAAATGGTGCTAAAGTTCTTGGTGTCCCAAATGGGAGGGCAGGGCCCAAATTTTTCAAGAAGAATGTTAGTGACATAACTAAAATGAAGAAATATTAATATGTACATATTAATATTAGGCAGGATGCAAGTAAAATTTGATTTGCTACAATGTAATTTATAGAATCCATCTATTTTTCCATCAGCATTTTACTTACTGTTAAGATTTCTTAGTGCTTACTTTCCTTTGGTTTATTTTTGTTATAATAGCAAAATTATGATTGGAGACTCTCTCTCACTCTCTCTCTCTCTCTCTCTCGGCAAGTGAAGTGAAATAGGTTTTCATTGTTATATGTAAAGAACCTTGAAATTTACTTTTACATTGTTTTTAGTTGAAGTACTAGAACTAGAGAATGAAGATATGTTTACTGCCATTCTTGTAAAATTATTATTTATTGTATTATCTTACATAATATTGTGTTTATTTTATTTAAATTATTATATGGAAAGGTTCTATCTGCTATCTTTTCAGGAGAAAATGGTAAAAGATATTGATGTTATCTTGAAGAATTAATAGTGTTTTGATAACTTTGCCAGTAAAAAAGTTTTATCAATTTTTTAAACAAAAGGTAAAATGTTTTGTGTATGTTGATGATTTATTGAATTAGAATTACGTTTTGTAAAGAGTTGGGAGATTTATACTTGTAAGCAATGTATAGTTTTTGTTCATAAGAAATTATGTTTCCAAAATTTACTTGCCAGACTCAGTCAGTGAACAAACTCCACAGCAATAACGCAAAATGCACAATTGAAAAATGAATCCGACAAAATTTATTGTTTATTAAAGTACAGTTTTTCAGATCACAGTATTCAGTAAACAATTCCAACTTCGGGTTTTTTTTTTTTTTTAAGATAAGTTTTGGTCTGAATTTAAATATGGCAAAAATAATTATTTTGATTAAACAGTAACTTGACAGTTGAATTTTTTTAACAACATGTACCTCTTTACCACAGCTAAGTGATAGGGTCATTTTTTTATCTGGATTAAATATGTAAATTCTGGAGGTGTTTCGTTTCATTTTCTGCATGTGTTTTTTTATTCATTTGAATGAGAGGAGAACTAAAGATATCTTTGATTTAAACAGTTTTAAAGAACTCCTATTTTAATATTTGATTTATCAAGAATGTTCTTCGTTGATACTATGTCATTTCACAAGTGTTGATAATACATCAAAAGATAACTGCCAAGTCTATAGTGCCGGTGTGACTGGAATGGCAGTTCGCTAGGAACTGTAGTCCGTTCTCCATTACTTTGCACAGTGACATTCTAATCATATGGGACCCCGGACTTCCATTCCTAGGATTACCATTCCTGTCACAGCGGGTCCCCTGTCAAAGGGAACACTAGCAAAAATACAAAACAAACGTAATATTTAGGGCAAAGAGATGGAAATTATTTGGTGTAGTTGCGTTTCTGAAAGAAAGCGGTACCTCTAAACTGCCAGCCCGAACCCCCCCCCCCCCCATTTGCCGACTTCGACTGCGCCGATCACTGCTTGGGTAAATCAAGGAGTCTGTTATAACTCCTTGGGTAAATGTAACCGACACGTCATATTTTGATAATGTTGTGGGAATTTTTTTAACACAGCAGATGTAATCATTAAAGATGCAAAACGTGAAACCCTTTTTTTTAATTATCAAAAACTAATGCAAAATTTGTTAATTTTATTACAACATATTCCTGAATAAGACGTGCCGAAAGCGTTTCTCTGATCAATGATATCACAAAAGAACGTTGCTGATGGTCTAAACAATATATGAAGGCTCCAACAACTCCTTGGTCACATCGAGGTAAAGAGAAACATGAGTATCGTATGTGACGTCGTTTATAGTAATTATATGCACAACTATGAGCGTATGTCGGCTGGTGCCGTTGTGAAGGTATCACCTCCAAATTTATTGAACATTCGTGAACAGTTTCAATAAGAACCTCTCACATAAAACTAGCCACGGCTGATGTAATTTGCATGACAATAAGTTACTTATCGCAGTGTGAGCTGTCTTTCTAAATGAGCACTTGGTAGTTCGACACAGTCCGATGCAGACGCAGCAATATGCAGTCCTAAGGTCGAGCTTTTCTAAGGCGTAGAAGCAAATGCATGTTTGTGAGTATCAATATTTCTTCAGTAACCAACGTTATGAAATGCTAAAGGCGCAAACGATTGAAATAATATTTACGACAAATAATTATGACACGAGTCCGTTACCATTGCTCCTCGTGTTTCACTCAGAATGGTAGACTGAAACAGTAAAGTCCCCTCTACACTGGACGGCGTCCTTTCTGCGTCCTGTAGTACGGCCCCGTTTGAGAGTAAAAAAATAATACTTTTCGTGTCGACAACTGGCCGATCATTGAGCATTCATTCTCAGGCCTACCCAACTACCAGACTCGGCACCGAATGATCCAGAATTCACCGGTAGATCAGACCACACTACCCGTTTTCAAGGTGTATGTCAGATCGCATTACACAGTATCATACCCTGAACAAATTTTGAGTGGTGATGCAATGCTTTTCAACCCCGCTGAGAATCGTCACTATCACACCGCGTACTAGACAAGAGCGGTGTCGCGTCTGATACTGTGTTATGCGATCTGACACACACCTTGAAAACAGGTAGTGTGGTCTGATCTACCGGTGAATTCTTGATCATTCGGTGCCGAGTCTGGTAGTTGGGTAGGCCTGATTCTGCAACCAAAGCTATGCTTGTGCCTCCTTTCTACCACCACAGCGATGCCAGTTTCATGGTCACAAAAGGACGCAAAAAGGATGCCGTCCAGGGCCTAAGGCAACTTTTTTTTTAGCTGAGCCTGAACATCAGACAAGTCAATAAACGTGAACACCATTTCAATTATAACTGCCCTCCCCTCTGTGATATTTCGTGCATTATTCGTATATGTTAAAAGCCTGAACGTTGATTCTAAAGTTGTAAACATTTTTTCTCTTTTCAAAAGCTCAACGAGATGATGAAAACCATGAGTCTGCAAGCAGCCTACGGTGCCAAGCCTTTGTTTCTCGCTCAGGAACCCCAACGCTCATTTCTGCACGTTTTATATGAAAACTGAAACGGCATTTTTTTTCTGAGCTTATGATTATGGTAAAGATAGTAATAATGATAAGGGAAATGACATATTTATTTCGTGTTTGAGGACTTTCAAATTAAATCTGCTAAATCTGATATGTAAATAATGTCTTACTTTTTTGTTTTTGATTGATGGATTTCTATAATAACAGAAGATATCTAAAATTGAAATAGTTGCAAATGTAATAAACACCAAACAACATTTAGATCTCCAGCTAGATACAATATTGATGTCTACTTAATTCTGCTCGGAAGGGTATCAAGACAATCCCCCTGGACTATCCTCTCACCTCCTGTAATGAATATCATACATATTGAATAATGTGATAATAAGAAAAATGATAAATGTTTGCCTTGAATTGGGGATTGTCCGTTTGGAATTTTCCGGGGGTGGAATGGAGATAAACTTGTCTGCTAGAAATTTTCCGGGGGGGGGGGGGGGTACTTGTGTGAAATTGTCCTAGAATCGAATCCTCGGAATTAATGAACCCTAGATTATGGGATTATTGGTTTATTCTGTTTAATAGTATAAGCTTTTCATCACGTCGGTTATTTCGGGTACTTACCGACAGTCCAAAGGTTTCTTAAAACGATAATCGACTTCGCCTTCAATTTAATGGGTTACTTTAATTAAGGACAAATGCATTCAGGTCTCCTTTTTTCTGCAAAATGATTAAATAAAGATAAAAGATATAATGTGAGATTTATCAATTCATCTATATCGGAAAAATTGACTATTTTTCGACGTAGTCATTGACCGTTAAACCTTAATATAGCGAAATTTTCATTTTTTCCTGGGAATGCCAACAATTTTTTTTTAAAGAGTGATATTCAAGTTTATCTCCATTACGAAAGTGACTAAATCACTTGAATATCACTCTTGATGGTTAAAAAAATTATTTAAAACTTAATTCGAACATGGATTATATATCGTAATTTCATAAAGAATACCTTGGTGATATAGAGGGAATTGATATAATTCCCAGGGAAAAGGTTTAAAGAGCATGGTGTTCCTTTATACTAAGTATTATCAAAAACGAATTAACCATATCAGCCACTTAGACACTTGATTTTTGTATGTATAACATTTATTTCTTAAAATGACAACAGACAAATTAACGCTACACCGTAGCGAACATTTTTATGCATTATGTTTGTGAGCGTGTTCAACTGTGTGTATATAACAATAACAACAAACAACATCCAGTAAGAAATGCCATACAGGATCCATTTGGATTATCAATTGTGAATAAAAAAGTTGTAAAGCCTGTATTGCAATCAACCGGTATATAGTCATAGCAATACTTCACGTTGGCACTCGCTAATATCAATACTGTTCACACAACAGCCGTAAAAACTGTCTAATGATAGAAAATGTTGATAAATTAATTTGAGTGATATTTATGTACTTTAACGTTTTAATTTAAAACACACCAGATCTCGATATTGCTCACATATGGCACACGTCAGTGATGGATACATTTGTTTTTTATTTTTCTTTTTGTGCGAAAACAATACTGAAAAACACCCAACTTAACACAACACGGATCAGAATACTTACGTCTAACATTAAACGAAAGACTAAATTGGCGAGTTTCATTGGCAGCCAATGTATCATAATGCTATATAAAAGGCTATATAAAAGTAATATAAAAGATGTTCATAGAACACGTAAATAATATACCCCCACTGGTTACCAGTGTTTCAGTAATAATACTAAGTATATGAGATGTTCATAGAGCAAATTATTTATCATGAAATTTTGCCTTAGTCATGATTTTCTAGACGGACTAACGTTGAAAGGTCACATCCATTTACGTCCCCGCACCGTCACTTCCTCCCCGATGAAAATGCGATATATATATATATATATATATATATATATATATATATATATATATATATATAACAAAATTCGTATAACATCCTGTAAATGCAGAGGCTCGAAAGTGACAATTTATTTCGAATCGCCGTTTTAAAAAAATAGGGAGAAGTAACTACGCAGGGACGTTTGGTAACGGGTAATATCATAATTTTGACTGAGGAAGTAAGGGTGCCGGGGAATAACGATGATGGGACGTAAAGGGATGACCCCTTCTAATATACCGCTTTAGCTAAACCAGCTTACATTCCCACTCGATCGAGTAATTGAGTTTCGCGAAAAAATCTTCAGGCTCGCTTTCGTCTCTGTATCCGGTTGAGTTCAGCAGGTACCAGAAAGCCCAGCAAACACATACCGTTATTATAACGTTACCATAACGTTATTGTTACCAAAAAAAGAACGTTATGGCCACGTTATAGTAACGTTATAAAACGTTATATGTTTGCCGGGAGCCTGGTTAACTACCAGGGCCACAGAGATAATATTATATCACTAGATATACTCAGATATTTCTCTGGCTAATTGACGTCATCAAATCTGCATATATGACAAGCGCACATCAGCTACTTGGCCTTTACACATACGTTTGCACTGCTCTAATATGTGGCGGTCTCTCCCGCTCGCTCGCTCGCTAGCTCTCTCTCTTTCTCTCTCTCTCGTCAAATCAACATTTGTTCCACCTTCATTGAAGCATGGTATAAATCGGACGGTTTGGCAACATTCAAAGCGAATATGTAAAATCCGCGAGATCGACTTTCTCTTCCATCTTTTACAATACGGTTTTCACGGTGTCAAACATCTTTCATGAAGCCATATCAAATCCCACTGCCGCAGTTGCTGTGTTAACGCCGCATTTTGTGTCTGAAGACGAAGGAGCATTCGCAAAATTTGAGCAACGTTCTTGGTGCAAATCTTGGGTTGTTCCCGGAGACGTAGCAGCATTCGTTTGGAAAGAAATAGAATTTCGGCATTTGGGGCTGTCGTTGTCGTTATTTGTCTTAACAGGATACGTAGCTACCGGAGCATTGTAATTCGCATTACCTAGGTTGTTCCCCCCGTCTCTTTCTTGTCCCTCGTTTGGATCCAAAGACGTTGCAAGATCTGAAAGGGTAGAATCATCAAATTGGCATTTGGTCTTGTTAGCGTCAATGTTATTTTCGCTTTCCAAAGAAGAAACGAGTGCTGCTGTTGCACAATGATTGTCTGGAGAATTTTCGCTGCCAATATTTTTCTTCGTTTCCAAATAGCAAGCAGTGTCAGGCAAGGGCGACTGGTCACCTAAAATCTGGTCATGACCAACATTGTCGTTTGTCTCCAAAGCTGAAGTGTCCACTACAATGGTTAAGTCCATTGAAAACATGTCGCTATCACTACGGTGTAACATGACCTCTGCGTCGTTTTGATTCTTCGCTTTTTCGGGAACTTCATCTGTGTTCAAAGAATCAGCTTTTAGGTCTGACTTGAACGAAATTCCTTCCGAGTACTTCTCTGTGACGCCAGGATGGCTCGTCTCTAAAGACGAAGCCATTTCAGAGCCGACTGCAGTCTCAGATGGAGAAATGCTTTTGCCCACGTGGTTCCCCATTATTAAAGAGCCGTCTTCTGTTGAAACAGACACGGCAATCGGAAATACGTCCCTGGCCACGGAACTATTGGTGCCGAAAGAAGACGCACATACGTCTGTCGAAGCAGACTGTGAAACCCCGTTAGGAATGTTGGCAGTGCCATTCGCATGTGAATACTGCTGATTAAAACATAACGGACAACCCCCAAGCTTACAGCCGTGAGCGCAAAGGCCTGCGCTTTCGTAAACTTTCGAGAGGTGTGGTCCCTTAATTACATCCTCAATCCTATTGTCATCCCTAGACGAATGGATTCCAAGACTTTCACGTTTTTGTTTGAGCAACAAGCTGAACCGGTGCGATTTCTGTTGCTCCAGATCCGTTTCAGATTTCTGTTCCCGATTCTGGGTTATTGAGGATGTGACCGGGAGAAGGAACATTAAGAGCGTATTGGCCAGCATGCACCCACCTGAAACGACAATTTAGGATATCTTGATTGAACGATAACAGAGGCACCTCCTTTAGTTACGTCAAACCTACGATTATTTCAAAGCTATCGTTGGATATTGGTATTTTATATATGCATATATATGTTATGTGTTGTTGAATTAGGTGGAGTTTGGTTAGGTTGAACTGTGCATTGCAGCATATTGTGTTGTGTTGCGCTGCATTGCGTTATATTGCATTGTACTGAGTTGTGTTGCGCTTTATTGAATTGTGTTGCGTTTTACCGAATTGCTCTCTGTTGTGTTGTAATATGTTCTGTGGTTTAATGCGTGTTGTTGTTCTGGGAAAGGCTGCATTTTCATGTCCGTTGTGTTGCGTTATCTTGAACTGCCTCGGTATAGGAGGTGCACAATGCAAAACAATACAAGTAAATAGGCGATGAACAAAAGCTTATAATTATGAATTACAACGTACCTGCAAACTGCATTGCTTCGGCATAAGATTTATTTGCATCGTACATCACAGCTGAAAAAGAGGAAAGGGCAAATAAAAAACCACTGTGGGAAGAAATTGTAAAAGGGGAAATTCTGTCTGTGGAATTTAAGATTCTGTGTCAACAACCAATTTTAATTCATTTTGGGGGTGACATCAATAAATTGCATCAATATATACAACATACATAAAATAAAAAGTATACTGCTGAATTGCCCGATAATTGACAGTTTATGAAATCAAATAAAAAAACAGTTATTTCTGTAAAATAATCTAAAGCTCAATTGCGTTGTGTAAAAGTTATTTGTTAAATTTATACTGACTGTTCCACCCACCTCCAATCACGGGCCCAATAAAGAAACCAATCCCGTTGGCAAAGAGAAGAACACCAATGGCCCCGCCCAACTGTGCTGCCTCAACGTACTGGGCAGCCAGGGGCGTGAATCCTATCATAAATGGTGTGATGTAGGTCCCAAACAACAGGGAATATAACATCTGTCCGGAGTAAGAACTCATGAATAACGGCACAGCAATAGTTAATAATCCAACCAGGGTTTGCGACATTGTGTAGATCGTCCACACGTCGACATCCGGGTGATTTAAGGCCCCGCCCAGTATGAGCTTGCAGCACATGCAGCTCACGCCAATCACAGAGAGGAGGGTAGGGGCGGAATGCTCGGACGTGCCTGAATACACGGCATATGCTGGGAAGTGTACAAATATCATCCCCATTGCAATTGGAAGAATCAATATATTCAAGGCAAAAAAATTAAACTGGATATTTTTGAAGAGTCTCAGATCGAAAACTGAAGAGCATCCAGTTTTGTGTTGCTTTTTATGGAGGTATTCGTATTTGTGTGGTCGCATCAGGGCTCCGCAGGCAAGCAGGTGAAGGGCCAACGCCCCTAGCAACAGACACGCACCCCTCCACGTGTATTGGTCGATGAAGAAGTGAGTGACAGGTGCCCAAACGACTTGGCCGAGACTTCCGCCTGTGTGCATGACGGCAATGGCAAATGCTCGCCTCTTGTTGAAGTAGTGAGAAGTGATAATGTGGGCAGAAGTATAGCAGATTATCAAACCGGAACCTGGATGTAAAAAAGTATCATTATTTTAATAAAACATCAGCCATCAGTACCGTGGCCCCACAGTTTTAAGTGTTAAAAAAAGAATTATTATTTTTCTTAAAAACTAAATAACATAAGTCAAACAAGACGTTTCGGTCTGCCATCTATTGAGTGGTCACTTGCATGGTTGATTTGGCGCCGGAATCTGCCGCTGTTTGACTCATGTTATAGCGTCTACAAGTGAATAATAATTCTGTTTTACCATCCTATCTATCCTATGATAAAAATCCTCTTTCATTGACTTTTTATATACTAAGGTTGTGAAAAAAAGCCAACAAACTAAATCTATTGGTAAAAGCGTAGGATACAATAAGGACACTATCACTCGACCTTACCTCCAATCAGACCGAAGGACACAATAAGGAAAGTAATACTGGTGGCAAATGAACTGGTGATGAAGGCCCCGGCCGCCACACAGCTTCCGATCATACAGGCTATACGGCAGTTCAGCTTGTTACATATCATACTGCCAACCACAGCTGGAAAAGAAATGATTTTCCATAAAATTTCTATTGAAATTTATTATTATCAAAAATTTATCAATGTCTTTCAAGGCAATTTTCTTTTCAGGGTATGAAAAATTAGGCATCACACTGCACATGACAGCTGCAAAATAGATATATCTTTTCAAGATATTTTCCTTTCTGTTTATAAAAAAGATTTCGTTGATAACGTTGATTATTGCATTGTATTTTGATTAAAGGACACATCTCAGAATTTCTGCGAGGCGCCACCTACCGAATGTTCCGGCGAGTCCAATGAAGACGGACCCTAGTAACGCAGTCATGGCTTCTCCTTCGTGGAATGCCTCCAATAATGGCAGATAGAAAACACCTGAAACATTAGTAATTGACAGACGGTTACGTTCAACGCCGTTTCAGATAAAATTTAATGCTTTTTATTAGGAAGTAATTAAGCGTTTTGCAAAGTTGCGAACTCCTTCAATTAACCGGACGTCTTTTCGCTCATTTTGCTGTTTACTTTGGGGTTGCAGAATTGCTGGTACTTTGACTACGTCTATTTCCGGAAATAAAATTTAAACTGTTTGAAATTTATCAAAAACACCCCGAGCATCCGCGTTGAGAAACGTCCAAACAGTCTAAACCTGTCTCGGTTATATCCGTATATCAAAGCCAGACAAAAGTGATTCTACTCTGTTGGCCATATAAAAAATCGATTGCATAACACTTTCATTAACATAACATAAAAATATATCAAACTGAATCAATATAAATGAAATTTGCAATTAACCAGGAATATGAAACTAACAAGATGTATATTACACACCTACGCTGTACACATATCCGTTGCCAATGAAAAGTGTCAACGCTCCTGCTACCATGACAACCCAAGACCACCCCGCGTCGACGTCATCGCGGCATCCTTTAAAATCTATTTCATCCAGTTCTTCCCCTGGAGGAGCGCCATTTTGTTCGACTGTGTCAATGACGCCGCTGAGGTCGGGGAGAGAGGTGAAAGAAGTCGCCAGGACGAGGTCGGGGAAGCTGAGGCTGCTGCATGCCTTCTGCAGGGACGGCTGCCTCTCCCTTTTGCGCGTCATTTTTGCCCGCTGTATATCTGGAAAGCAATAAACACAAAACGTTAAACTATTCCCACTTGTGCGTCTGGTTTCATGACAGATTTGTATGAAGTTCTATAGTAAACGCCAGTCAATGGCAAAGGAATTTTTTCTTTTTTTCTGCTTTTACCTTTATAATATTCATCATATCAAGAGAAGTAATATTTCATTCCCGCGACTTGGTTTACCTTACTACTTCAATACACCCCCCCCCCAACACACACACACACACACACATACACATCTCATCCCACCCAATCCTTACTGCATCATACCCACCCCACTGTATCCTACTCACATATTCCTTCTCATACACACATCCTATCCTATCCAACCCCAATTATCCCACCCTACTCTATCCCATCCAACCCCAATTATCCCACCCTACTCTATCCCATCCAACCCCTATTATCCCACCCTACTCTATCCCATCCAACCCCAATTATCCCACCCAGCGAAGGCTCTCCCTACATACCATTCCATCCGTTCCACGTTCTCAGTTCTACCTCACTACCCATCAAAGCGGATAATCTGGAGTCCAGACAAAGCCAAACAATTTTTTCCTTCCCCGTCCTATGCGAAAGGTTTTTTCTTAGTTTCGTTGAATTATTATTCTTTTTTTTTTTTTACCTTTTAAAAAACCTTGCATCCGCCACTGCATAAAGACAATACCTCGATTCCATTTTTCCTTAGTATTAGATTATCAATTAATGGATATTATAACGAGGTTTGCTTAGCTAAAACCGTCTCTCATAAGTGCGAACCTAAAGAGTCTTTTTTTTTTTTTAATATCATAAAGAGATATTGAAACCGCCGGAACTTAACAGAGAAACTGTGCATTTTACTTTCCTTAGCTCGATCGTGACACCAATGAAAACGCCAAGTCGCGTCCGTTCGCGCTCACAATAGTAAAAATATTCCAATCGATTTTTGGTTTGTGTGCGGATTATTGATCACAGCTCAGCATGACGCCCCCTTTTACTCTCTCTTTCTTTGAGCTTGCCAGGCATCGCTTTTACAGAGAGCGTTTTGATATTAGTTTTTTTCGGGCCCGACATAGCAATGTAAATCCGAACACTGGCGATAAAACAAAGCAAAACAAAACTAAAACGACAGTAACGATAAAAAAGAACATTATTTGTAACGTTACCAGCTCCATCCCGCATAGTATAAAACCCAATTGGAGAGATCAATTAACAAAGGCGATATATAGCTAAGTTAATCTATAATTGGTCAGTTTTATTTATTCCAAGTCCAATGGACAGTTTTACTATTTTACCTCAACTAATGAAAATGACATTCGGAAATTTATGTTAAACTATGGTATGACTGAAAAATTATGGTAATCATTCACGCATTATAAACAATAAACCCTTAGATCTAGCAGATTATTGATTTCTATCTAAATATTACTTTCTGAATTCACACCGCGCGACTCACCGTTTCACGCAAAAATGATAATCCAGTGGATTGATTGCTTGACCACATGCGGCAGACACAACATGTTAATTGCACTCACCGTAGTTGAACTGAGGCGTTTTTCGTGCACGTTGCCGCTCACAAGTGCAGATATAGCATCTAATTGAAGCAAGGGCTTCACAGCTTTGCATACACACATCCCTCTGTGATGAGAGCACGCATATTTGGTGAATTATCGATTAGGCCTCAGCTTGATGCCTCGCCATCTTAATAGGGTTCAAAACAAAGAGCCCAACCGCCTCCTAGCTATCTCGTAGACAGCATTAATTAGACCCGTACTGGATGATCTTAGCCACCCTGGATTTCAAGGCGATAACTGCAATCCTTTTTCAGGCCTTATAAACCATGAAATTATTTAGCACCAACAAAGCGATGCCTAGCACTAACATTCATCCGCTCTGGTAGTGCTGGTTTTGCGTAAGGTTATACGCTTCTTAGAATTGCTTTTCGCCAATAAGGCAACTGAGACCGGCAGTTATAGTTTTCTGCTACATGATTTACTTGACTGTCTGTAAACTCAGGTATCTCTTCTCTCTCTCCATCTCTCTCTTTCTATGTGTCTTAATCTATGTCTTATCTCACTGTGTCCACCTTATGTCTCTTTACCTCTCTATATCTCTCTGTGTCTCTCTCCATGGCTCTGTCGCTTCTTTTTAAATACTCTATCATAATTTACATTTCAAATGAACTTCCATAACTGATATGCCTCATGCCATGATATACATTAACTTAATTGTAAATGCATTGAAATGTAAATAATTTAATTTAGAGCAACTGAATAAATGGACTTCTCTAACTGACATGCAACATACCATGCCTATATACATTTGAATGATTATAATACTTAAATAAATATGCATATCTCAGGTATGCAAATTTACAAGATTGTATTTATGAGCGGGAATTAACACATTCACAGCGGGATCATATCAAAATCGATCGAAGTATCACTGCCTGGCTATACGCGTTTAATATGAAACAAAGTCATACTTTTAGGTCTAAATATAAATGTATATATCCTGCAAAGCTACTTATCTTCCATGATTCATATCTTTAAAAAGATTTTAAAAAAAAGCCTCAAATAAAAGCTGTCGATTTCCCCTTCTGCAATCTCGGGAAAACATGAAGGCCTTAATAAATCAAGCTTTGTTCTGAAAAATTTTGATTAGAAATGTTTAAAAAATGGAATCTAATTGCAGGGACAGGGAGAGTAATGGTTTGTATTCAAACATTGCTCCTTCATTGAAGAAAATTCGATTTGGCGCAAAAATCCAGTAGAAAACACCATTAAAATTAGGAATTTGAAGGGAATCAATATATACTGTTTGGTGACTGTTATATGTGACCAGCAAATTATGTTTGATACGCAATATGGATGTAGTGTTTACTTTGTTGTCGCTTATACAACAGAGTCATCTGGTGACAGTGCACAAAGTAAACAAAAATACGGTTCATTATACAATAATTAAGTAACTTTGAGCAAGGAATTTCAATACATTATTGAAACTCCGTTCTGTGCATGTGTAACGCTCAATCTACAAGCCCATAGCTACTACGACAGCCGACTATGACTGACAGTTAATACTGGTTTATGCTGAATGAATATATCTTCTGAATGAATGCAAGTCTTTCTCCAAGTACAGTTTACAGAATAATTGCACTTTGGTTGCTCTCCGGTTGTTTTGATTTTTCACATCTTCCAGGAATATTAAGACGCGGCACCTAAAGCATGGAGCGCTTTATGTACAAAGCGGCAGACGCTGTAATGAAATGCACATGGGCCTGTTTCTAAACATCTCCATTCTGTAACATGACTATATCTATGATGCGCAAAAAAGCACTCAATTTAGAGCAACTGAATAAACTTACTCAACATGGCTATTTTATACAGATTATGTCTGTGATTTTGTATCATTAACTTCAACATCTTGCAGGCTTTATTTTGTCCAGAAGAGAAACTTGGGGCTGTTAGTTTGGTTTATGTAGAAAGTAAATAAGATATGGCCAGGCACACATTTAACGTTGCGTGATCAGCCTTCGTAATCAGACTGTTTTCCAAGGCTTGTTAAAGAAATGCTACCTTGAGGGAAGTAAGATTCATTAAAAATTAAGATATATTGCTCTTTGGGCTTTCCGCGCTTTGATTATTATGTACGGGTAAACACAGATTATATAGTATTAATGTCGATGTTTTACACTTTTTATGTAATACTATCTAGCCCTTGCCCTTCAGCATCGATCACTGCTAGTGACTTTGGATTTAATAATAAGTAAAATAAAATATCTACGAGCTTTAACCATTGTATTGTATTGCATTTAAAATGTCTTACCCACTAAGTATCTTAATTGTGCTACAGTCAAAAAAGACAATACAATGCCGTAGGCCTATCTTTTTAACCACCACCTCAACCTAAAGCAATAAAAGAAGATATATATCTAGCTAGTTTCCATGCTGCATGAACGATAATCGCTTAATCTTTTTTTTTCATACGAGCTTGAAGCATTTGTAAATTTAAAACTTAATCCTATAAAGAAACACGTTTAAATCTCCCCTGCCTTGTTCTCTACGACACTTCTTCAATACTCTGGATGATAATCAAATTTCACCTCACACGCGTAACCTTGATCCATTTATTCATATGGATTGAACTCGAAGGCATACGGATTTTTATTGCGCAACCCATCGTATTAATGAAAACCCCCACAAGGTACGAAAAAGTGGCCGATCAAAATTTGAGCACCCGCCCTTCCATCTGTCACCTATTTTTATCTTCCACTGTTTGCGATTGCCTCGCCTGGCTCTTCTTATATAAAATCATGGAAGAAATCAATTTTACTTAAATATACAGGTTACAGAGATGAAAAAATAGATTTTGATTTTTTTTTGGGGGGGAGGGGGGGGGGAGGGGTGCGAGGGGGATTTGAAGGGCTGATTCAGAAGCTTAGGCCTAAGGGGGGAGCGTGGCCAGTGTGCCCCCTCTGCTTCTACCTTTATCCGTGCGTGTTATTCATACTGACCTCAGGTGTAGTAAATCCGCTTCCATTCTCTTTGTGAACGAACATTTCTACTATTTTCTTAATAAACTCCCCTTGAACACAATCACAGCGTGGTATATGAAGTGATACAGTTATTACACCTTGCTATTGATTTTTCTACGAATGGCAAGCAGCTGATCAAGTGCCTGGCGACCAAATATTCGTAACCTTAAACGCGAATCGTTTTAGTCTTTGATATGATGACTCTTCTTTCTAATTAAGGAGCCTCAACCTCGTATATTATTCCAACCATTGAATCTGGGAGACATACTTAAAAATAGCCTGCATGCGGTCTCACAGTGCAGTAAGCCGAGCTCTGAGCGCTGCAAATTCAAAGAAGCCACAATATCGATTTTTCCCACAGCTCAGCTGATCGCGTTCCTGCTATTCTTAAATACATTGGAAGACCCCTTTAACGTGAAATTAACCTGTCTGTGCGTTAAGGTTATAACTACTAAAAGAACATGACAAAAGGCATTTTAAAAAGGGAACAGTTCACAAAACCTTAGTGATTGAGTACTTTGACTTTCCTATACCGTTCACAGCTAATCGACACTCACGTCCTTCCAAATTATTGATAAATCATTGACAGTATCCATCTTTATAATATAGGCCACGATGCATTGAGCACCAAGATCATTTAGCGTATATAATGCACAGAAACTACAGCTAAATAGTATAAGAAATTCATGAAAAACGTACATACCGAGTCAATACATCTGGTTTCGTCTAGTATATACTGGTTCTGGCAGTTTGACATAACTAACAAATCCGACAGTTACGCCACCTGGAGGCTACCATCTGTCCATTAAGACCTCTCATTGTGTGGATAAGGAAAAAAAGAACTATATCGATCTGAATTCAAAGCTAAGATCACGCGAAGTTTCTCTCTTCCTTCCGAGCAACATCGCGACTGTATACATGTTTTTCAGTGTAGTGCAATCTCTTTATTTTGTGTTCAATTCACGAGGTGAGATAAGCTTTCTTTCGATTCTTCCGGGTTTGGCTAATGACTTTTTTCTTTTTTCTACTACTTCAGAAATTACGTCAGTAACACTCGAGTGTTTGTGCTGATTTATATGCAGTTTATAAACACAGGGATTCGGCAATGGCAATGGAGGGAAGTGGGGGGAGGCAATGATAAAAAAATTTGCTTAGCGAAGTCAGCAAATATAGTATAGTAGACGATGGTAACTTCATTTCTTGTAAGCCGAAGGGATTAAAATGGCATATGGTTTTCTTTTTCTCACTTCACTTATTGTGCCGATTGTCATACGGGGAGGAGTACTAATTCCTCCAAAGAAAAGGTTTGTGTGTGCGTGTGTGTGTGTGTGTGTGTGGGGGGGGTGGAGGGGGGGGGGGAGGGGGGGCGGAGAACGAAAAAAACTGTAAAATAGTTACAGTACTAGTCCATTAAAAAAGAGAGCATGGGTTCGTTTTACAAATAGTACAAATTTCAGACCAATTTTCAATTTGTTATTGAACAAATATAATGATCAACCTCAATTAAGAAGATGTAATTTAACAGAAACACCAAATATATGAATTGTGCCAAAACAAGAACCCCAGAGATGAGACAATGCCTTGATTCAAATTTAGACCTCTTCTTTTTTGGGCCATGAACGAATTATCTTGAATACTCTATTCGATATATACGTTTTAGAAACTCAGTTGTACTTCTATTCCAATGTATGTTTTTTCCTTATGTTAATTCAAAGTATTTGTTTATGTAGGCCTACTACAACATTCATATATATATATATGGTAAAAACAGGCTATTTAATCCTCGCTGGACAGTGAAGAAATGTTCATAGCGATAGCCAGAAAAATATCTGTGATATTAAATAAAAAATCGCTATGTGGTCCTGGTAGACGGTAATTGGACTGTTAAATTAGATCTCATTCACAACGAGTTGAGCCAGGCTTTACAAATCCTGGGGACTAAATATGGCGGATGTACTCAAAGCAAAAACGCCCNCCAGGATTTGTAAAGCCTGGCTCAACTCGTTCTGAATGCGATCTTAGAGCGCATTCAGAACAGTGGACTAACAGATCCGAGGATCAAATATGGCGACCTACTAAAAAGCTTGCCGCTTAATTCCAGTTAAGACACTGAATTCATTCCCTGCGGGGATTAGTCTACGCAACAAGCATTCAAGTCGGTCGGCCTTATTTTATAAGCTGAAAATCCATAAATCCCTCGTCCCCTTCCTGATATGTAAGTCTCGTTCATGCAAGTCAATTAAAAAATTACTGCTGATAAAATCCGTTGTCTTTTGTTCAAAACTTAAAGTCACTTTTTGAATCCCGAAGATTCTTAAAGGTCTATATGAACAACTTCTGGAAAACCCTGGCAAATATTACTTAATGATAGGCTACTCCCGAGAAAATATTAGCACATAAAAAAGATGTATCGGTGTTTTAAAAAAGAACCTCCTGGGATACGTAATTGGGCGCAGTGAAAACTGTGCTCTTATATATCCTTCACGTATTTAATTCCATAAAGTTGAATATGATATTTCATTAATTTATTTATTTATTTATTTGATGTCACAGTTATTATTTTAAACAATTATTTCGGGTTCAAAAATTCTAAAAGCTGCGTGTTGCGGAGTGTGACGTCACTATGGATACGTCTTTGTGAATATGGCCACCGCAGCCGGATATTTTGGGTCGACTGAAATAACGTTTTACTTCAACAATTTATTTGAACGATAATGCTTAAAGCAGCAATTTAAAATAAAGACATTTGACAACCTTTTTAGTTTCTTTCGTCTTTCTCTCATATTTATTTTCAATCACGAGAGTTCGTTATTCTCACGTCAACATTGTGACGTCATTCTCAATCAATCGTCATCCCTTGTTCGGATAGCACGATTGGCTTGTTGCGATTTCATCGAAATCTCAGCGAAAATGAGCAATTTGCAAAAGTTTGTGTTTATAAATATACGGGAACGGTGAGTGAACCTTTGTTAAATGTGTTTTAAATTATAAAATACAATATATCTTAGAATTGCGTGCGTTTATTTATCCTGGTGTAATAGTTGGGGTGGAGGGGCGGGTTGAGATAATGTAGGCTTGAGTAAGTTATCGTATTTTGAAAGTTAAAACTATTAACATTAAGCTTACTCACTGCTTTTTAGGAGTACTGTATTTTTATATATATAGAGAGAGATAAATACTTTCTTTTTTTCATTTCCTTTCTTGTTTCTTTCTTTGTCTGTCTCATGCTGCCTTAGAACTCCTGGAATTAAACATTTTTTCTAGTGAAAATGGTTCTCCTGTGAGATTACCAGGCATTCTTGATGCCAGAAGAAGGACCCCTTCCCCGGTGCCAATGGCATTTAGAGGGACAGCGACTCAGGTCCATCTTCCAAGGCTGACTCCAATGCCGCTCTCTCCTCACCCACCCACGGCCCCTCGGCCATCAGTTCTGAGACCCTTGGGTCGTCCCGTGACCCCTGCAGACATCGGCGCGCGCCCGTTCCGCCTACCACGATGTGGTGCTGGAGTCCAGAACGTCCTGACTACTGGACACAGGACAACCGCCATGCGTTCCATCGAAGACCATGTCCATTATTTCCAGAGCAGGAATAATCCTCTGAGAGCTCTCCACCATGCTCGGCCTCCCACTCGACGGGACCCATATTCGGGTCTGTTGGATGCCACCCCCGGACCTCGTGCCACGGGCCTCGAGAATTCTGCTGATGCTAGACCAAGCACCCGCCGGAAACCTCGAAGACACGGGCGAAGGGTGTGAAGACTTTGCCAGACATGGGACAAAGACAAAAAAGGAAAAAAAAAAAGGGGGGGAGGGAGTTAGGCGTAAAGCATCTTTGAGGCTTGAAGAATGGGGAGGGAAGGGAAAGGATACGTGGACATGGATGAAAAAGATAAATATAAGTTTATATTTTCTAAAAAAGAAAAAATTGGATGAGGGAGCTAGTGGACTAAAAGAAGGGGAGTAGGGTTCGAAGACTGTGAAACAGCAAAAAAAAAAAAAAAAAGGAAAGGGGACGGAGTTGGAACATTAATACAATATGTACATAGAATAAAATTCAAACTAAATAAGGGACTACGATGGAGGGGTAGAAATGAAATATTTTATAGAAATGAAAGCAATGGTTTTTAAAATCTCCTTTTATGAACTGCATGTATCCGAATATTTTGTAAAATAAAGAGAAGATAAAGAAAAAATATTTTGTTGTGAAGTTTATTACCTGCAACAGGGCACAGAATGGTAGGCCTACTCAGTATTTTCTTTTTCGTTGAATTATTTTCGTTATTTTATTTAGTTATATATTTATAATTTTATTACAACTGTGACTAGAACTCGGCATCCGTGCGAGGCAGCTTGCGGGTGCTCTATAGACCTTAAAAAAATAATATCTTTATATAAGAAGAAAGGGAAAAAACAATTTCGCCTTTATAAAACACTTATAGACATTTATAATTTGCTGTGTAATAATAATAATAATAATAATAATAATAATAATAATAATAATAATAATAATAAAACAGGGAAAATACATTATATTTCTTATCTCACTTTCATTTACTTTTTTTATGGCATTTATTTCTTTGAAAAAATGTTTTATAATGAAATAGCTTACTCACAGACCCGACTGCTCACTAAGACCTCATGACAGGTGGGAGCAGCAAATTTACTGTCTAGTCAACTTAAACTTTTCTAAATAATTTGGAATTCAGAATATTGGTTTAAATATAGGCTAGAGATTTTCTGTTCGTAATATGATAAAAAGAAATTATGATTTTTTTCCTGTCAAATCAGTGCTGTCAAGCGTGTTAGTCATAAATAGGTCAACAGTAGGATCGCAGTAAATGGTAATCTTGTGACACAAATCTGACGCCACAGCAAAAAAAGGGGTTCTTTTGATGTTTTTACAACCGTGAATTCAACCAGGATGCCTTCGACGATGAAAAAGAAGGTAAGGAGATTAAAGAGGACAGTTTTAACCTTTCCAATTACTAAAGAAAGCTAGAATTGTGTTAGATATATGTTACATAAATATGCTTGTTGCAAATGTCGGATGACATCGGTTCGATGACAGCGTGAACATGCACTGAAGTTCAGAACTGTCATTTTATTGACAGGCCACAGGTCTTCAGATCTTTGAAAATTTTGTCAGCTTTTCTTCATTAAACTTGGCTGAAGTAGGTATCCGGTTAAGTCGGTTTTAAGGAAAGTTATGAGTAGTTAGAGTCTTAGATTTTTACTCTGCTAGCTAAGAAATAGTCAGAAAAGTCATACCAATTACTGGTCTGAGAGCACTGAAAGTAAAACAACAGTTTTTGTTGCTCGCATCCTCTCTGATTGATTAATTTTTTGTCCTTTACTCTCAATGTGAGTACCGGTAAACACTCACATCAAAGATGTTATTGGCTTCTGATGTTTAGGTTTTTTTTAAAGAAATTGTTCATGTCCCTTCACTGTGCTGTCTTTGAGCTCAAGAGAGACCATTTCACAGCAAAATTGCAAACTTGTCATGCTGCTCAAACTGCCTTCTTCCAATGAATGCTCTTTCAAGATTTTCATACTGTCCTTATACAGTGCGGTTGAGAATGTTACATTTGTAATAAGTGTCGGAATGCCCTCTCATTTTTAGTCCACTTTCAATTTCAATACATGAATCGTGAACTCCCTGTTATGTTTGCTGATCTCATTGGCATTCCCAGGTGTTCATGTAGACTCAAGGCGAGAAATGACACAGTCAGAAGTGTGCCTTTTCCTTCTGAATACACACAAGCAACAAATGAACTCCAATTCATCTTTTCTCCAATCTTAAAAAAAATTATTACATGGGATTACTGACACTGCCTAGAATAATAAAAAGTACATTTTCACCAGTAGCATTTAAGGTTGAAAACTGAGGCGACCTATGACAGTGTTTGATAACATGAAATATATTACCAGTACATTTATGTTATACCTGTTCAATAATCAATAGTATTGATAATTGTACAATTCTGTAACTTGTTTTCATTTAGGTGCTGTTGATGGGGAAGAGTGGCTCAGGGAAGACCAGTATGAGGTCCATTATATTTGCCAACTATATCGCCAGAGACACAAGGAGGTTGGGGGCCACAAGTGAGTTCAGTGTTCAATAAAGAACTTAGAAGTAAACATCAATCTGAACAGTTACATACACATGGTTTCTGGCAAAACTCCTAGTTGCACCTTTATTTTATAAAAAGTGCCAGGAAACTGAGCTCCTTGTCACTGTCATTGTGTGAAAAGTTGTAATTTGCCTTGTTTATTGATTGAAACCAATAGCAATATACTGTATACCACCCCAGTTTCTGGCTTAAGGAAGCAAAATTGGATTTTTGTCTCTTTAAGGTTCATTCAATTTAGAGCATGAAGAGAAATTTTGAATTGCAGAAAAAGTTATCAGAAAAAAAGAAGTAGAATAAAATCATTGTGACATAAATGTTAAAAAGTATTGAAATTCTAGGGTACTAGTATGATGGTGTTGTAAATGAGAAATTCATGGTTGAAATGACTTTTATTATTTGACATTTCTCAAAGATTTCTCTTTTTGATGTTTCAGTTGATGTAGAACATTCTCATGTCAGATTCCTGGGTAACCTGGTGTTGAACCTGTGGGATTGTGGAGGGTGAGTGAGTACAGTTTAGAAGTGTTTCAAAAGCATAACTAATGATAAATTTTCTTAAAGTTTTAATTTAAAGTTCAGATTTTGCAATCTGCTTTTGTCAGATGTGTAAGACTGATGAATTTCACTTGTGATAGTAAAAAATAGAAATATTGAACTTCTTTGCAAATGGGTTTTTAGATTATAATTTTTTCAATTGTTTAAAAAAGGATATGCCTTGATGAGCAAGAGTAAGTTATTGAAATTTTCAGAAATATTGAAATTTTGCTGTGTAATTTTTTAACTCACATTTTATCTTAACCACCTCTTGAACATGCAATCTCATGTTAAAACATGACCTAAATGATATTGTTATCACATTAATGTTTTAATTTTCCAGACAAGAGGCCTTCATGGAGAACTACTTTGCTAGCCAGCGTGACAACATATTCCGCAATGTAGAAGTTTTAATATACGTCTTTGACGTGGAGAGCCGGGAACTAGAAAAAGACATGCACTATTACCAGTCCTGCTTGGAGGCCATATTGCAGAATTCTCCAGATGCCAAAGTTTTCTGTCTAGTACACAAAATGGACTTAGTACAAGAGGACCAAAGGGAATTGGTGAGTTGAAAAAATTGACTGTGTTTTTATAATAATAATAATAATAATAATAATAATAATAATAAAGTTTATTCAGCCATTGTATATATTATTATATAATACATAAAAATGGAAATTGTTTTACCATCTCAGATTAAAAAAAGTATTTTTAAAGAGCCAAGACTTAATAGTAAAAATTGATACGTCACGTATAAAATGTAAATTGTTTTCTGCCATGATATCTTCTAATAAACATGTTAGTTAAGATTCTAATTTGGATTTGAATACGGTAGCTTACTAATATGCATTTCAATGAAGAGTTACAGTTCAAATCTTGAGAGAGTGACAGGACAGAGCTTGGAAACCTTTATTCTTGTAAGCATCTTTTAGAACTTTCACCAGCAGCCATGATGTTTTACAAATGTATATTGACCGAAGATGTCCAATTTTTGAAGTATATATAGGATATATAAGGCAAAGTATAACACTGGTTAGGTTTGTTGAATGTCTTTTAATTTATTTGATTATTTTTCATCCCAGATATTCAGAGAAAGAGAAGAAGATTTAAAAAGACTGTCAAAGCCACTAGAGTGTACGTGCTTTGCTACTTCCATTTGGGATGAAACATTGTATAAGGTATTTAGGGATTTACATCACATATGCACCGATGTGAAAAATTTATTTCTTAACTTTTATTCATTTGTGTATTTATATATTATTGTATATATTAATTATCATTTTTCTGTAGAATTCTGGGTACTCCTTTTCACATATACAAGAGAGTTTATGTAACAAAGTTGCTGGATTATATGTTCAAAAATGGGAGAAATTCTAATATGTCCATTCATACATTTATTTATTTGCTTTAAGTTATCAGAACTATGTAAGTCATTTATTTACAATGTGATAAATTGACTAACTCGTTAGTTTATTTCTGTTCAGGCCTGGTCATGTATAGTGTACATGTTAATCCCTAATGTCCAACAACTAGAGACCAACCTCACCCATTTTGCCAACATCATCGACGCAGATGAGGTCCTGTTATTTGAGAGAGCCACCTTTCTGGTGAGATAGCAACCTGAGTCATTAGTAGCTGTTTTTTTTTTTTTTTCCATTGGAATTGTAA